CTCCCATTCAATTTCTTTGTGATTGAAGTCAGCCACAATCAGTAGCTTTGCCCTGCTCGCATGAGCACTTCTCGCCACTTCAGCCAGTGTGTCAACCATCGCTCAGTTACCCTCATACTCTTGCCATGGCCTCCTGTTGTTCTGTGGTGGGTTATACATCACTGCAATTACCACCTTCAGAGCTCCAGACTGAAGTGTTCCTATTATGTATTCTCTTGTTTCTCCTCTGCCTCCTCTTAAGGAAAAGGATCTGCCGGTGAGTATAACACCGGTCACATATGAGGCGCACACCAACTACATAACTGCTGCAGCATATGCGCACCTAGCAAACTAAGAATAGCTTTCCGACATCTCAATAAGGAATCGTTCAGGACCCTGTACACCGTGTATGTCAGGCCTATATTGGAGTATCGGCACCAGTTTGGAACTCACACCTAGCCAAGCATGTAAGGAAATTAGAGAAAGTGCAAAGATTGGCAACAAGACTAGTCCCGGAGATAAGGAACATGTCCTACGAGAAGAGATTAAAGGAAATCGACTTGACGACACTGGAGGACAGGAGAGATATTGGGATATGATAACCACATAAAATACTGAGAGGAATTGACAAGGTGGACAGAAACAGGATGTTCCAGGGATGGGACACATCAACAAGGGGTCACAATTGGAAGTTGAAGACTCACATGAATCGCAGGGATGTTAAGAAGTATTTCTTCAGTCACAGAGTAGTCAGGACGTGGAATAGTCTGGGAAGTGATGTAGTGGAGGCAGGATCCATACATATAGCTTTAAGAAGAGGTATGGTAAAGCTCATGAAGCAAGAAGAGTGACCTAGTAGCGACCAGTGAAGAGGCGGGGCCAGAAGCTGTGACTCGACCCCTGCAACCACAACCAGGTGAGTACAACTAGTGGAGTACACACACACACACACATACATGCAGGCATATACAACAGGCCTAGTGTCTAATCGACATGTGCCTAGTACAAAATGGTAACTCACAAGTAAAAGTAACCAAGACAGAGACTGTAGGAAGAAGTGTTTAGTGTTAGTGACTAAAATCTGCATGGTGAAACATGGCTATGGGGGACGGGGGGGAAGAGACAGAAACATGTACCAGAAAACTGCACTATGTGCTAAGCAAATCTATGTACATTGCCGACGTTTCGCTGCGCTTGCATTACCTTATCAAGTTATGTTTCTCTCTGTGTGAAGATTTAACATGTTTTATTTTTCCCCTCTATTTAGAGATTTATTATGTTTTACTCAGTGTAGATGTTAATCAAGTCACGTTTCATTCTGGGAAGAGCTTTACCAAGTCATATTTCGCAGTGTAGAGAACGATTAAGTCACATTTCACAGAGCCCTTTTCAAGTCATGACTTCACAAAAGCTCTACAGAGAGCGAAACATCGTCTTTCCAGATGTTCTCTACACCTAAGTCCCTTTCTACCACACATGTACACAATGCCTGTCAAAAATTATTCATGGGATAGCAGATAAGCTGATGATGAAGACACAAGTGTAACACCCGAGTGATTTTATTTAGTCAGTAGACACCTAGGTGTTACAAACGTGTTTGATTCGTTCACAAGAGCTATCATCCGGTCCGGAAACATTGTTAAACTAGACCAGTTAGTACTTTGCTAGCATTCCAGGAAAGTTCGCTCGGGTAAAGTTCACTAACCTAAAATTCGCTCTGGAAGGTTCAAAATCTGGAATTTCGTCTCGGGGGAAAAATTCAGTCTGGTATTCTCACTAGGTATCACCGACCAGTAGAAAACTAGTAACCGTTATCAACTAGTAACTAGTTACGAGGATGAATTACTAGCTAGTTCCACAGGTAACAACAGGCGTTCCAGGATTTTTTATATCAGCGATTTCAGTAGAGTTATAACTAAATATTCTGTGATATATGGAGGTATGACAATTTATATGATTATATATGACGATATAACAATTGTATATGATGATATGATAATTTATATGATTATATATGACGATATAACAACTGTATATGATGATATGATAATTTATATGATTATATATGACGATATAACAACTGTATATGATGATATGATAATTTATATGATTATATATGACGATATAACAACTGTATATGATGATATGATAATTTATATGATTATATATGACGATATAACAACTGTATATGATGATATGATAATTTATATGATTATATATGACGATATAACAACTGTATATGATGATATGATAATTTATATGATTATATATGACGATATAACAACTGTATATGATGATATGATAATTTATATGATTATATATGACGATATAACAACTGTATATGATGATATGATAATTTATATGATTATATATGACGATATAACAACTGTACAAACTTATGACAATTATATATCGCCGTGTAGGGCGATTTTTGTATCAAAGAAAACAAAACAAAACAACAGAAGAAACATAGCTAAAATTAGAAGAAACAATAACAAAAAACCAGAACTACAAAAAAGGCAAAAATTTAACGAAGACAACAATACAAACAACAACAGCAACAACAAACAAAAGCAATAACATAACAGCAACAATAATAAATAATGAAATAACGACAACAATAGCAACAGCGTAAACATCAAGA